CCCTTCCTCGGCCGCCGGTATCGCCGAGAGAAATTCAAGACTGCGCGGACAGGGAGCTGAGACTCCTCCATCGGTTGTCTCTGTTCCTCGCCCGTGGATTCCGCGTTGCCCTCGACCCTCGGTATCTCGACAGGCCTGTGCCCATTTCTCCGCCTCCTCTTCGACCTAGGAGAGGCAAAGTAGACACTAGTCTCCTGGTACCCGTGTGGATTCACTACTCGCGCATTCTCGCTTCTACAGGACTATACAGCGATTCTCTCGCCAAAGACGAGACATTCCTCGCCAATTTTGTTGTTTTTCAATCAAAGTGAATTCAAATAGAAGGCTCAAGAGTTCATTGGACTTCTTGGTTTCCATTTTTGTGTACATTGAGAGTACATGAAGTGGAAGGTCGAAATCATTAATCAGAATCAATTAATCAGAATAAAGATCAAGAATCTTAAGTTTTCACGTAAAAACTATCGGAAATAGCAATTTTGTGAGGAATCATATTTTTCCTCTTATGTACATCCTTCTCTGTCCCTCTTTCGACTTGATACGTCCCTCCGCTGTCTTTCTTCTATCTCTCCTTCCGCGATCTCTCGTCCGCTTTTCTGCCGAGCGCCAATAAATTAATTGCGAGAGATTTACGTATCGCGTCCGTAAACCAGTCGGCGAGACTAATGCACGGTCACTAATTACATAATTATATGGCATTATGTTACGACGACCAATTAATACGTGGGCACAATGACTCGGAGGCGCGCGTAAGTCATCGGCTCGCGATCGACGAACGATACATCGGAGAGCGGCGCCACTTCGCCACGCGGGATTATAATTTATCGCCTAACGCCGCGGTTCGCGACGCTCCTTGCAATCTTCCGTCGTTGGACGTGTTTTAGGCCTCTAACAATCGGTATTATATCCAGCTTAACTCGAAAACATTGTACTTCGATAAATTGCTTTAATCAATTAATCATTTATGGAATTAGTCATTTAGAAACTGAATATACACGTTCTTGAAGTAGTTGAGAAAATTGAGCCGAGAGAAGTTGATCAAATGTGGAAAGTAAGAAGCATTGGAATATTCCCCTTTCACCTCGATAGATCAAAAACATCCTCCATACGTTTCCAACAGAGCAATTACGAGTTGATGGATCATCGATCAATTACGGACGTCGTATGATCACCTCTCGATCATCGTTCATTTATTACGCATCATAGGGTATTCTTATCTCTGCGTAATTCATGACACAATCGTACTCAACCTCGCGTGCAACAATATTTCCTCGTTTTCACGATTCCTCTTGATATAATGCTCTTCATTGGATCATCCTATCGATTCACTTTCTTGAAGTTGGATCTAGCAAATAGTCTCGATTTATCCAACACCCAAATTATTCAAAGATATGCAATATGTGTATCTAAAGGATAGATTAGGCTCGCCAAATCCAAGTCCCATGCAGCCTCTCCAGGTTCCCAGCATCGGTACTGACCTAATTCCGTCGCCAATGTTCGCCGTCGAAGCTGGTGGACCGCGTTGGTCGCTTTTCTTTCGTCAGAGAGACACTCGGAGCGTTTTCCCTCGGCGGGATGTCGGAGGGCTGGGGACGAGGCTGCGAGCGGGGGTGGAATATGAGATGCGGGCAACTGATTTATTTAAGGGGCAGACCAGACATCCGGTTTGTCGAATTACGCTTTAAGAGCGCCTGTAGACAGAGTGGCGGAACAGTGACGAGGAGACGAGAGGAGAGCGAGAGAGGCAACGAGGTGGAACGAGAGCGCGTAGCCCGTCGACCCGTTAACCGTTTATCATTGCATCGACACAAGTCACGCAGTGGACCCTTGCTGTCCATTTAAAAAACGAAAAGGAGACACGGGGCTTTAGTAGGAAGTGACGTCATCGCGGTGCGAAGCCATCGTGAGCGGCGATGACGCGAAATCTGTATCGATTCTTCGCGTTCTCTTCTTCGTGACCTCTTTGGGGATGAATTATAGCGTTTCGAACGGGCAGAAGTCAACGTGATAGTGACCCACGGTATTCATCATTCTTGTGGTAGCAATGTCTGATGCATCGTTGGGAAATTTAATTATGGTTGAGAGGGTTGCTGGATCAGCCTTATTTATCGGTATGCGATGTTGCTGTGGCTTCAAAATTAATTGGGAGTATTTATTGTTAATTTCTCTAACACTCTAGGAAATAGTATTCATCATCGTCTTCGTGGTAGCTAGCAAGGGATTTCTGTTCAGATTCACGATTTTCCGTCGATAGTAAGCCACGGGCGTAAAGGAACAATCCGTTCACGTTTAAGTGACATAAGAACGTGTAATCGATTCATCAGCACGCTCGGATGTCTTCCGCGCAATTACTCGATTCAAACGATTGCGGCCGACAAGATGATCTTCACCTCGAAGGTGACAATGACAACCAGCGCCCTTTGTTTCGTAGTTGGTGCTAGTAGGAAGCAATCCAGCGACAACCGATGCATTATTAATGTCCCCCCTTCGCTTGTTACCGCTCTTGTACCTTGTACTCGCTCGCTCGACGTATATCCTCTGCGTGTCCGGGACAAGTGATCGCCGAGCCTTCTAATGAAAATTGAGACGTTCGGGGCGAGAATTATTGCCGCTTAATTGTAGACGCACGCGCTTGAATTATTCAGATCGTTTTCTGGAAAGCTAGGATTTTTCTTGTCGCTGTTAAGTCTAGGGTAACACAGAATTGTCATTAATTTTTCGTTCGATTCGACCTTCTATAAGCCTGTGTAACTTTCGGGTCGCACGCTAATATATCGATATTTTACTAAGTAATTTTAATTTCTTCGCAAGATGACATATACGCCTAACGTGAGAGTAAAGTAACGTGAGAGTAAAGTATACTTTTCGTTAGAGTATATTTATGTAATGTGAAAAATTGAATTTACTAATTTACTGCTTGTTAAATAGATAATTTGGCTGTCAGTACATTTTCTGTGATTGTATCACCGTTTTCCTTCTTGAAAGTCTTTCCTTATGTAGCGAATGGCTTGGAATCCATGTCAAGTGCTTCGAAGTATCATCAGAGGCAGCGGGAGAGGCTCTCAGCGATTCCTCGTAACGATCGAGCGATGAACGAAATGGACGATCATCCGGGTCGACAATTTCGTTTCCCACTCGTGAAGCGTGGAACTTTTCTTCGATGATTCAATCACTTAGTACTCCAGTACGCTGTGGCGTTCGTTTATTCGAAGACCGTCGACGGAACATACCTGACCATTACAAATACTTTCGTCGTATCATAGAAAATTTCTAATATTGTAACGTTGTAATTGAAGATTTTTATTATTCAACATCGCGTCAAGGTAATTTCTCTTTATGCAGAAAATCGCAATTTGCAATAAAAAGCATTCGAAAAGCCTGATATCTCGTAAAACATGACGTTGACGAAGAATTCTTGCAATGTTTGTCTCCTCGAAGCGAACCATCTTCTACGACTTTCTATCGTATCCCGAACGAAAGGGAAGATATATTCCCATCCCAGGCATATTATATTCTGGATACAGCTTGTATATTTACGCGAAAATAACGGCATATCGATCTCGGCACGAGGTCGCTGGAATAAGAATTCCAGAGCCAGAGGTCGGTATCACGAAGCGAAGTGTCTGGATATATCACGTCTGCCAGAGCAACAATGAGTGACAGCTACTCCCACATGCTGTCATAGGCGTCATCTTCGCGATAATGTACCGACTCCGCTCCCTCTCTCGATTGCCTGCTCTCGTATCTGGTTAAAATCGTTACACGGTCAAATCTATAGGACCTTCCTGCGCGGAGACACATAACGAGGACGTGTGTTCGTCGACGTGCTCGAGGACCGGTCTACGATCCCTACGTGCGTCTACGATCTCTGTTATTCACCTCGGGAGATGAGACATACATTTAAATTCCCCAGACATTTTCCATCGAACGGCGATATCTGATTCAAACGGCTTCAATTCGAGAGACTCTATCATCTTCCAGGTAGATTCTAGTCGATTTTAGATATCGCGGAAGAACATGAAGGATACGTGTAATCGGGATACCTGGATAAATTTCTTGGGTAATTTTTATTTTGCTGAACGACATACGTGTCTGTAGGTTCTGTACGAGTATAGAGATCGAGGAGATTGTACATGATTCTCTCGTGATGTCATCTTGTAGGAACATTTTCTGGTAGCTTTGCAAGTTCGGACATATCTGCCGGTCGTAAATGTGTTAATATCCTAAAAATAATTTTCTCCTAAAATCTTCCACTGCTTACATGAAATTCCCGCAGTAGGGAAATGTTTCTGTCTGCAAATAGAGAATTGTTTTGGAGTAGAGAACACTCCGAAAGCCCAGCAGCGTCGGTAGGCAACAATTAGGCCCGTCGCGTATTCGCATCACGGTGGCCGACAAGCAATTTGCCGGGCGTTTTTTCCCAAAGAGGTAGGTTCGCGGCTCCGTGATTATCACACCGGCTACACCCGCGGAATAACCGAGCGTCGTCGAATATTCGTACGGCGCGGCGTCGATTCGTAGGACGCGCGCGTCGTCGAATCATTTATGCCAGCGGCATTTTCGAGGAGTGGTACGTGTGCTCCGCCTTTAATCGAGATCGAAATCGGCCGCCGCGGACTCGTCAATGATATTCCGCGTATGCGCAACGGTACCCTGCGCGCGCGTACACGCGCACCAGCCCATGTCCAGCGCTTTAACACGTCCTCCATTACCATTCGGTTGAAAAATCATCCGTCGCGGACCACCCCGCATTTTTAATCATTTTAGTCGAGCCGCTGCGCGCGGAATTTTGATCGCTACGAGGGAACTTTTACTTTTTAAAGAGATGCGTGATCAGTGCGGTGGTGGGTATTGAAATACTGAAGCGAATGGGACTGGTTTTGATGGTATACGAGGGATGATTTTCGAGTCCGTGTGGTGGAATAGAAAGTAGACTCATCTAAAGATTGAAATTTTATGACGTTGGATGTGGAGTGTTGATGTTCTGCGTTTGTTTGTTACAGAGGCCACCCTCTTCGTCGCTCTCGTACCCCGGAGCGGGTGGAAACGACGATGCACGTAGCCCCGGAAGCGGGGGCACGCCAGGACCCCTCAGTCAACAAGCGCCCACCAGTCTGGACTCTTCGGATCCCGGTAAGTCGACCTCCTCTAGTTCCGGATCACTATATATTTAAGTTCAATGGATATCGATAGAATCTAAGGTTAGTACCGCAGACAGCGGGATTGATGGATCGTGGGAAACCTTCGAATCGATTGGTCGACGCCGATCGATGAAAACAGAAGCGAGTGGCGAGAACGTTTACGGCTAGCCGCGCTAATGACAATATCACGCGACGAGCAACGGTTTGATGACAATCAAGACGCGACTCGTCGGGACCCCACGGACCTTCTGCACGCCCTTCAAATTTTACGAACACTAACGCACGCGTCAACACTATGAAACACGCCAGCGTCGGGGCTAATGAGCACCCGTCCCATTGGCGTAGTGGTTCCATTTTTTGTTAAAACTAAATCGACACAGCTTGTACCATTCCGTGGTGGTACTTAGGACTTTAAGAGGGTCGATTCCAGAACTGGAATACAATCTCTACCTTTCCTCAGTAATTCAATTCAATTCACGATCATTTAGCAAGGTACCACTCTCTATGTCTCTCACTCTCGTGATACTATTATATGCAACACCTCATTTCGAGATAGGTAACGTCGGTTGCACTTCCTATCACATAAACTGATACGACAGCTACCACGCAACATCAATTCACGATCTAGAAGACAAATTTTAAAGCATTCTTCGCTTCTGACAAAACTCCCGGTTTGGTCGTAGGCAAATAAACAAAAAGCAACGAGGGTAACAGTTTCGCGACGTGGAATCGGCGGCGAGGCGCGCCAATGGTTAGCGCGGTCGGGTTCAGTCAGTCACCGGAGGGTATACAAGTTCACGACACCATCCCATAAAGATTCATTAAGGTCCGCCGTCTCTATATTCGTTGTGTCGTGCCAGCGTTATAGAGCCGCGTGGCGTGCCAGTTCGCTCGAACACGTTTGTGTGTCCTATATAGGTGTGCCTCGGTTTGTCCTCTTACTTTTCTGCGTGCGCGTGTATATGCACCACAGTGTCAAAACGGTTGATCAATAACAATCAAAAGCTATCCACGCGAGGGGCGAGAGAGGGAGTGAATGAATGGCTTCGGGAAACGGTGCCGCGAGACGTTTAAGCTGTCGTCGCGTCGTCTTTTGCGTTAGCCTCCGTTGCGATGGCGCTTCGGATGCTGATAAGGTGATGGATCCCTCGCTACTAGAACACTAAAGGAGAGACTGATGTCTTCTAACTTCGTCTCAATATCCAGACAAATAGAACCGAAGTAGCCTAAATAAAATAGACGTACCTCCTTCTTTCAGCGCTTGACGGTGTAAGAGATCTGTCTAAAAATACCAGCAGCGTTGTACTTATGAATATCCCATTGGAAATGAATAAGTGATGAACAGAGAAACATGTGAGATACACGTGATAATTTCGTACCTCTAATAGGATTGTACATACGTCTACCTAGGTCTAGACATCCCAGAAAACGTTCGTCTGACCTTCTCCACAATTTTCATCTGAGATTCATCTGAAAATAGCAGGGACGTTCTAATTTCGAAAATGATATGGATTAAGAAGAAAGTCATGCTTATGACAGACTAGTATTTTCTGGACCCTGTATCTCTAAAAGAATTTCCAGACTCGCCTAAGTTTAAGACACCCTGAAACCATCCGTCTGACCCTTAGTAGCCTCTAGGTAAGCCTAAAGAGGATTCGTTCAAGTTCTACTCCTCTGACACTCTCAACAAGCGTATCACAAGGTCCCTTCCAGTCATGAAACGTTCGCGTAAACTTTTCCACAATTTCCAACGTAGCCTCGCAGAATCTTTTTCTTCCAACACCTGATGATGTCAGAGATCCGCCTCGCTAAAAATACCAGCGGCACGGTAACAGCTGTAATCGCGGCGGCGCTGGTCGCGTATTTGTCATCAGATTTAAAATTCATCGCATGAGAAACGGGCAGGCCGGTTCGTGACGAGATTTCGATCAGCCCCCTACACGGCCGCGACTTCTGCCCGTATTAATTAAAGAACGTTAAACAGTAACGCAACACCTCGGATCAAGCGTCGTGGCGTTCCGTGCGATCGCTACGGAATCGCTCGAGGGTCTAGTTATCCGCGAGAGTATCTAAACGAGTCGCTCCACCGCGAAATATCGCGATCGTTATCTGACTACGGCGCGAGGCACGACGGAACGATCGCGAGCGCGACATTGTTCGACTCCGTTCGTCCCCGACGACGCTCACTTCGAACCAATACGTATCGAAGTGTCTTTCCAGAATTCTGGATCCTTTACGTCAATTTTCGAAGTTGCAGTGCTTTGACATTTAAATTTAAGATTTTTCATAAAGTGGAGTTAATCGATTTTTATTGTTCCCTGTAGCGTGGTTGGATTGAGTGTAACGTCAGAGTATTGTATAAGTCTCTTTTAGTTAGGACTTTGATTTGTTGTTGTTGTGCAGAGTGGAGCTGGATCAGCGAAATAGCGTACCGTGCGACGGTTCCGTGAACAGATATCAATCTGGCGGCAAGATCTGTCGTGAGGCGATGACGCGTGTTCTGGCTCGAGGAAAGTCTTGAACGTGCCAGAGTAGGGAAAAATCTGCGCGACCTCGACGTGATCTGGCGGGAATTTTCGCGCGTGGAAAGCGCGCGACGAGAGAAATCCGTCGATCTGCAGCTTTCACCACTGATGGAGTGGATGCTGACACGCCAGCTGGGAATTTTATAATAATAATACATTAGTGGCTTGCACGATGTTTGAAAGTCGGGCTAGTTATCAGTATGCGGGGCAGAAGTAGAGAATTTTCCTCGGTATATGGTCGATCTCAGATTTTGAGGGGAATACTCGTCTATGAGTAGAGATTCTTTTTTTGAAAAGTATTCGAGTTAGTGAAAGGGTTAATGCCTTACCTAATGTTCCAAAATTGAACCAAGTATCAATATGTGAGGTGCAAGTAAAGAATTCGTCTTGTTGCATTCTCTTACATAGTGGCTCTGATTTCCCTCTTCAGTATTGAGATTAGAAAGCCACTCGACCGTGTAAGTTTTCTGCATAAAAACATCCCAATAATTCCTCTCTCAACGAAGTGCCATAATCGTTAGTAGTAACGGTACGAGGCAGTCTTGCGTAGCCCCGGAGATCTTAATTTTTTGCGTCCATCTACATCAGAGATTCCTGTTTTAGACGTCTGCTGAATGACCCTGGCATAAAGAGGTCTCTGTTTCTAGAACACTCGTATCTTGTCGAGACTTTTGCAAAAGTGTTACCATCGAGTGATCGCTCGCAGACCGCGCTGTTTATGAAAAATTCAAAAAATAGAAATTCCTCGAATCGAAATCGCCAACAACCGGATGCAACTTTGTCAGAAGCCCCTCCATTAACCCATGGCGCAAAAAATCTCACGGAAAAACTCGTCTCGCAAAAATCACCGATTCCGCGAGACAGAAATATCCTCGATCCCCGCTGAGAACCGCTGTTAAACGTTCAGTGAATCGATTCTCCTCGGTAAACAAGCCAGCGTGCTGCATGCTATTCTCTCGTTAATTCTCGATTATAGTATTGTTTATACTTTAAACAACGCGGGGAGTCCCTTCGGAAAAGCACGCCATCTTAAACTGTTGCTTAACGAGGCGCGCACTTGCGATAACGACTGCAGGATCACGCGGCATTAGAGTTTGTTATAAAGCTTTGCAATTTTTAAAGGATAATTGTAGAAGTGTTGACGAATGTCAATCCTTTCTACTTATGTTGGTTGTACAATTTAATGTTTCACATCTTCAGATATTTTCTAATCTAGCATCTTCATCTAAACTCCACTTTCACCTGCCATATCTTTTCCTTAAATTGAATTTCACTTTCTTTTATTTCAACTGTTAGTTGCGATCACGGAGCCACGTTCTCCCACACGCTGAAGATGCTCGTCGCGTTCCAGACACGAGTCGGTGGACCCTTGGGTTACCTAACGTCGAGATAGCATCGTCGTCTCATCGAAGTTGTCACCGTCGGACAAGGCATTTGCTCGGCGCCCTTCGGGGGCTTTTCTTCGTCGTTTCGACCTATCTATCGGGCCCTTTTCGTCCTTTCCCTCTCCGTGGGCTCGTTAACGTGGCGGCTTGTTTGCCGTCAGATATCATCTTCGACGGGCCGCGCTGGCCTTGTCCGCGACCGTGGAACCTCCGAGTGGACCTAATTTCTACCGTCGAAGAAACGTCCACCGGATTTACCTCTCATGTGCTTCGCCGGGAATTTTATACTGGGAAGAAATACTGCTTTCCTAGACCACGGTTAATATATAATACTGCGTCCTTTACAGTCGCTCAGGTAGAACTTATAGGAAACGCAAGAGGGAATCTTGAAGCATATAATTGTTAGGCCTCTCTCAGGTAAGTCATAAACTAATATTTAAATTATATTGGCATATGACTTCAGAGAGACGGAAAGTTACAGAGGGTTAAACCAGTGTCAAGGACAATTTCTTCAGAGTTCTTCGTAACTGTTTAAATTAAACTTCTCTAATAGATACTGCTCTCAAGAAGCATCAGTCGCACCTATAACTTCCCAAAGCTTGTTCGATTCACGTTCGTCGAGTCGTGAAAGGTGGCAACAGTCTTTGTTCTCCACCGTAAACTATTTAGTAATACCGCTCGAGGATCGTTATGCACGCGTCCGTGTATAATCCCAGTCGTCAGGGCGGAATATTTTTCCAGGACACGCTGGAAACGCATGCCAACGGCACGTGGGAGAGCGCGGCTCGGACATTAACATACATCGTGTCGCAACCGCTCGCGGATAAACACGTTCCTTCTCCCGACGAGGTTAGAGGAGATTCTATCTCGTTCGACTGATCGATCGCGATTCGACCTCGAGGAACGAAACGTTCCAGCCTGCTCCCGTGTTGCTCCGTGAGAACTCGTCAACTCGACGAATACGAATGCTTGGGCGAAAACAACCGTTTGGAGTCGAGCACATCGAGTTGAGATTAGATTATCAGGTTTAGAAGGAATCGGGGAACTCGTGTGGCAAGGTTAGCCTGCGTTGACAGATCTAC